GTCAAAAATATGTTTATGCGCGCGACTCTTCCGCCGACGCCCGATCATAAACAGCTCCGTCCTGAGGAGCACGGCCCTCCCGGTCGAATTAGGAATGTCATTCGCGCGACATCAACTATTGATGGGGGGCCCCCGTATTTTGATCGACAACAGAGGGGGAATACTCGTGATGGAACGAGCGATGAAATCCGAAGGCAGGTCACTGAAGCCCACGGGGCTGGACCAGTGCCCCCGCGCATCGCAGCTGTTCGTGGGCGCGCCCAAAATACGATCAAGGAGAATGCGCGCATGCTACATGACCCCATATTTGCGCTGCTTGCGGAGCTAGAGGTTGAAAGTTTTGAGCAAGCGCTCAGATATCTCGCATCAGAGTTTGGCTCGGATGACAGACCAGACTCCATTCCCCCGGAGGCCTACAATGCACTCGTCCCCCTAGTGCTGCCGAAGGACGCTACCGGCACAGCCGAGGAAGCGGAGGCAACGTTGTTGAAGCACGGCCGAAAGCCCGCCATGCTGGGAAGCTCGGAGTTCTGGAGAGAGCGCAGCCACCGAACGCACTCCCAAGCGCAATTTATAAGCGAGCGCGCGGTGCACATGGCGAGACATTGCGCCGAGCACGCCCGATCATTGGGTTGGTGGGTGTATGTAGGCGACCTAATTCAGAAGATGACGAACGACGGTATAACACGCGCCATTACTGCCCTTGCAATGCACGGCCTGACAATGCTGCCGCCAGGAGAGATTGATACTCTAGGCGTCAGGGCCGATGATGGGCAATGGCGGTCCTTTCTGAACCCAGATGCCTCACGCGACACAGCCGTTGATGAGGAACACGGGGACCTAGTCATCACCATCGATAGGGATGAACGGGCTGCTAAGCCCATGCCATTGTTCTTTCATGCATGTCAGGGGCACTCTTGTTCTGATCACAGCATCGAGCGGATGTATCCTCCTTGCGAGTTTGGGGTGGCACGGTGCCGTGGGCATATGCTGCGTGTTTCATCCTTAGGAACCATAACGGAGTCAACTCTGGGAGAGCGGCATGTGTAAAGCACCTGACTACGGACTTCTTAGACTGATGCCGACGAGGCGCGAGCTCCCTGCGGAATATGCTGAACACGTCCCTCACTGGCACAGCCAGCGGAAGAATGGCGAGGCTCCACCCGCCAGGGTATATCAGGCTGTGGGCAATGCCCCCCCCCCCCCCCCCGGCGGTGGACACCCCAGTCGGGGCGCTTGGCCTCAATCAGTCACCCCGTCTTTCTGGGGCACTGATGTGGCACGCAATGAGAATTGGCAATATGTTGTTGTCTTTAATGGACGGGTAGTGGCTCGCCTCAGGTGTCGAATCTGTCGTAATGGAACTCTTGTGACCACGGGACAAGCACGTTTCAATACTATTTCGCGTTTTGTACAATTGCAAGTGGTTGAGCAGGTTGGCAGAACCACCGTATCACAGGTGATGTGGACCTTGCGATTTTCACACGAGTGGTCCGCGTGGGAGGTTGCTTTCTCGTCTGATACAATCAGAATGTGGGAGTTCTCCGATGAACAGGCTGTCGACGTAGAGCACAGCACTCTGTCCGAAGAAGAAAAGGCCTTCATCGTGCGGAAAATGTGGACTGACGATGGGAGGTACATTTGCGCTCAATACCATGCCGTGAGGGCTGGTGTTGGATAGCGCTTGCATTGCCTTAACCTTTTTTTTCAGGTACTAAACATACGTCAGAGCGAATTACGTATCACCGCCTGGAGAAATACACTGGGTGCTGCATGGACGAGACTTAGATTGAAAACGCGTGTTGATGTCACCCCGAGAGGAGATAATAAATCCAATATGAATTCTAACAGGCCAAGAGCAATGAACAAGAGCTCTGCTGATGCTTTGGACAATGTGAGCAAGACCGAACAGCATCGGCGCACATATGCTTGTATACGTTTCAAGACTGCTTCGGCTGGTGGTACATTCATGCGTTCGCAGCCAGGGGCCGTTCCTTCCTGGCGACCTGACAGCGTCTTGGCACAGCCGCCGGCACGTCACGAGCCATACTTTCAGTATCTTGAACCCCTCAAGCTTAGGTTCATTGACTGGCTAGAGGACAAGCATGGGGATGCTCACCCCACGGCTGCCCAATGGTGGCCATTGATTTGGACGCCAGATCTGGACCAATATGCTCGCCTTATGAGATGCTCTGCACTTCCCTTTTTCGATTGGGAACATGTTAGTGCAGACCAATTTCGACCAGAGACGGGCTGGGACCAGTGGGGGCGAGAAATGGAGGAAAGAGGATCTGTCATTCCTTCCGTTCGAGTGTTGACGGAAAATTTGGAAGCAGCGAACCGAGCATCTGCATCGACCCAAGTAGGGTGCATAGATTATGGGCCAAGCCGCATTGATGCAGTAGTATCGGAATGTGAAGAGGAGGCTGCGATGTCGGATGGCATATGCAATAGCCATATCGCACAGCGACATCAATTGCTTATCCCGAATCGGTCGTTGCCTTTTTGGCTTGACTTGGTCTCTATGCCTGGCTGCATGCGCGGTCAGAACTACAACGATGAAATTGACGCACCGCCAGGACTACCCGAGCTTGTGGATCGCATTTGGAATCAGCCGTTTGATCGCATCCCCACCCATGGGGGATGGGGGCGCGTTCTGTTAGCTCTACGAGAAGCCATAGTTTGATTCATGTCCGCGGGAGTCAATGTTGCGCTTCCGCGGCACGAGGTACATCGCAATCCGCAAGCCACCCAATCCGCAAGCCACACAAGCCAGCCTCCCGGATCCGGATTGTCGGATCCGAGCTGCTGTAGAGACATGCGATTTGCTTCGTGACTGGGTCACCGGATTAGGGAACGAAGCGTCTCTGACCGCACGACGGAATTGCTCAGGCATTCAAGAGGCCATGGTCTTTATACACACGTCTGTGGAGCCTCAATTTAGTGTCAAGATTTGTCTCGCCAAAAGCCTTTTGGGGTCTTCAATGCTGATGGCGCGATTGGGATCACCAATTGCCTCAAGAAGAAACAAGAGGAGAGTGGCCCAGCCAATTCTCCCACCGAGACAGTCCCAGCCGAGTCGCCAGCAGATGCTGTAGCCCCCGTCGTTGAAAGCGTCACCCCCAGCGGCGCTGCCACCTCGGGACAGCGAACTCAGTAATACTCGCGCCCAGCATCGCGGCCGAGGTTCCAGTATGGCAGGCAATCCCATCGGGCCGCTCCCTATGCTCCTGTGTCTGCCGGCTCAGCCGCGCCAGGCACCAATGCCGGCTGGGTCGACTATGACAGGATTCTGGGCGGATGAATCTTGGACTGAGGAACCCATCCTCTAAGGACTGGCCGTCGAGCCGGTTGGCGGCCGCGCGCGCGATGGCGATGGCCCCGGGCCGGCCCTGGACGGCGTGCGCGACGCTTCCGTTGATTGCGAGGACAAGACCGAGAATGGATAAATTTGAGGATGCTACGTACATGTATTTCGGCATCATCAAGTCACCGGTCATCACAAAACGTGGCAATGGTTTAGTCTGGATGAGTACAGCGACAAGTTCCAGCCTGACTCTGGGACGCCAAGTACTTCAAGCCGGCGCCCCCCCCGCCGCCGTCGCCCAAGGCGAGACCGCGGGAGAAGGGCCAGGGCAAGAGTGAGCCAAGTGGCTGGAGCTCGAGCCGAAGTGAACACAGCTCCTCCAGGAACCAGAACCAGCGGCGCTGGAGCAACAGCGATCCCTGGGACGTTTCGAGAGTCGAGAGGTCGATGGAGAAGGTGATTGTGCGCAATGGAACCTGCACGACAAAGTCGGCGCTGGTCCGCGCTACTTCGTGGAGCGCGTGCACCAGGAGTACATGGGCATTGAGACCTGAACAGGAAATATTAGCTCAGGCGGGGAACGTCGGGCTTCTTCGGCCTTCCGCCCCCTGGCAACCACCGTCGAGCGGTAAAATGCTTTTTGGGGTTCGCTCCGGTGGCTGTACATATGTGCAGGCCAGGTGGGTTGGGGGTCGGGGCGGCTCTACGGATCCCGCCGCGGGGGGAGTCAATGCACCCCTTCCGCACCACCATTATTTCGCCCTGCCTGCTCTCTCTCCTTGCACACGCTGTCCGCCTGCTGTGCTGACTTGTCCTGCTCCCGCAGCTATATACTGTGGCTCTAGGGAAACGGAAAAGGAGCGAACCTGTGGCGCGCGCGCGTGCGTCGGCTGGCGGGCTGGCCTCCTCCCGTCAGCGTTGCCTTAGTGTATGCTTGACGGCACTATCCCTTCTTACCCATGTCATCTGCGGAGCCTACTGACCATGAGATATCATCGGAACATCTTGTAGGGATTACGAATATCCAGGCAAAAGACTGGAGGAGGAGGAGGAGGAGGAGGGTGCGCTGACCCAGGCCTGCGCGCAAGGCCCTGCAGGATGTTGCTGGATATCCTGCAGATTCTGACTGGCCCGCGGTCTTGCGCCGACCCGGTCTCGTGCGTCTCCGAGGGCTGCGGAAAAACGGGACGGTTGTGTGAGAAGGCGGGGGGCCTTCTCAGAAGGGATTTTGGGGGTTTCCTAGAGGCCTTCCTGGGAAGCCTGGGAGGCCCCTCCGTATCCCGGGAGCGTCCCGGCTTCTTGGAGGTCTTAGAATGGCCAGCCGCCCCTCCGCCGCGCGTTATCCCCTGGGGCGGCCTTCGGGCCACGGGGCACTTGGAGAGCGGCCCGCGGCGAGAAGCATGCCTGGCCGAGGGGTCAAGACCTCCTGTAGGCCAGCGCCATCAAAACACCAATTCGGGCCGAACGAAAAGGGAGATAGTTAAATGGGGGTTACGAAATTTGCTGCATGCAGCTGGTTTCGGCCCCGCCGCCAGGCCCAGTCCTTGATACATGGGATCCTCCTGGCGTCGGGAGGCGCCAGGAAAATCAGCTACGTGAGCTGATTCTCGACCCTGCCCTTTGCTATCCCCCTTTTCGTTCCCCCCGATCAGCACGCCTGAGAAACGGGGAGAAAAGCAAAGCAATTCTCCAGCTGAACACCGGCATAATCACGTGCAGCGAGGAGTGCGTCGCCGCCGACTCCGAGGGAGACCAGGCAGGAGTCGCCGCCTTCTCTTCCTCGTGCTCGCTTGCTCGCTTGGCGGGCTGCTGGCGATCGCGCGTGGGGTGCTGGTGTCGGCGCGTTGTGGATCCTCTCTCTCGTCGCGAGGCAGGTGGAGGGATGCTGGGGCACTGTCGGGGTGCCTGCAAACGACGCAGCCCCCCACCAGGCACCCGCGTTGCCTGGGCTCTCGTTGCCCTGACCCTTCCAGGCATTGACCGCCTTCCCTGGTGGCAGGCTGTGCCTGCGCTGAGGGCTCCCTCGGCTGCAGGGAGCCCGCTCCACTCGCTCACTTCTGAGCTGGCCGCGAGGGCGTTGGGGACCACGAGCCCCTGCGCGTCGGCTCTGGCGACGGGTGCCCATGGGTCTCGGCGGCGGGGCGTGGGGGCACCGTGGCCCTGCGTGCGAGCACCGGCGGCAGGCACTCGCGGGTCCCACGCGCCAGGTTCCACCTACGGGGTCACGCTGCCAGGGTTGCCGGCTGCCGCCCTGGGCGGGCGACGACGGCGGCAGTGATGCCGCGGGCGCGGGTAAGTTAGTCATGCCGCTGCCAGCGGGTAAGTCGGCGCTGGGTCAGCGGGCCAAAAGTCTGTGCGTCGGGTGGGACCCCAGGTCCCACGCGGTGGCGCGCATTTCTCTTTAAGGGGGCGGCGCGAGGGCGCGAAGATACTCGCGCATCGCGGGGCGCGATGCGCGATGCGCGAATTTAGATGATCCGGGACCAGGACCCCGACGTCATGATGTTCGTCCAACGTCGACCGTCAGAGGTCTCGACCCATTTCCCGGGACCGGCTTCTCATCCTGAATCGTTTTTTGTCTGTCCCCGGGCCTGGCGACGGCTCCCCAGAGGTCGAACATGGCGAGTAGCTTGGCGAAGGACCCGACCATATTTAGTTGTGAGTGCCGCAGTTATGGGTATCGTCTTCGGTGGAACTCCCCTATGGGCCACGCGTCGCTGTACTGGGGGTGGGAGACGAATGCGAACTTTGCCACTGGAGCCTTCGGTGGCGGTCCCTATGGGCCACGAAACGCTGTACTGGGTTGAGGAGGTGCACGTGGACATTGCCACTGGGGCCTTCGGTGGCGCCCCCTATGGGCCACGACACGCTGTGCTCGGTGGGGGAGGCGCGTGTGGACTTTGCCACTGAGGCCTTCGGTGAGGCTCCCTCTAGGGTCGCGAAACGTATGATGGGTGTGCCGAACAGGCTGGCACGCGAAGGGCAGAGGCAAAGATGGGAGGAGGGAGGGCGAGGAGGAGGAGAGGGAGAAGACGCGGGGACTATCTCTTCAAAACGAGAACCCACATCCACAGGATGCTTTGAAACAGCAGCGAACACGTCATTTTTTTTGTTCACGGCGCGATGGGGGTCTGGTGACTGCGCCCGCTCCCCCGTGCGTAGAGCCGGCGGTGCTCACGGCGCACTTCCTGGCCGTCAGATCTGTCGCGGGTGGTTTCGGGCCGTCCCGCCACGGCGTCGCGGCGCTTTTGGGCGGGCAGGCGGTGCGAGGGAGCGGCGTGCGGCACGCCATGGCGACGGCCCTTTCTGTCCGAGGGAGGAGGACCGAGGGATCGGGGCGGATCGGCCCAACTGCGGCGTGGAACGACGTCGATGCTGGACGACAAGGGCCGCCGCCCAGGCGCGACGATCGACGCGGCCCGACGATGAGGTCGGCATGGAAGGAAGGGGGCCCTCAGGGAGACGGGTCCTGATGTTCTTGCGCTGTGCTCGGTGTCCCTTCGGCCCCCTCCCCAGGCTCCTGGGACCTCCAAGAACGACTCAGGAGGCAACGCTGGTTCTGGGGGAAGGCTCCGGGGTGCAGGACCCGTATCTTTTTACGCCTAAAGAGAAGGAGAGGGTGAGGGAGGGGAATTTTGACACGACAAAGCCAGCACAACCGTGGCCCCCCACGCGGCCCCACCAACATGGTCCCGCCCAGATGAGCCCCGTCCTTCTGCAGCAGATAGACGGGTGGCCATTCCCCCCCCGAGACAGGGGTTAGCCGTTGACCTTCTCGTGTTGCGTTTTGTTTTTTGTTGAGCACGACCGTTCGTTTTAACGCCATCCCGACCAAATTGGCCTTAACCCTGCCCGTCATCCTTGACACATGAATATTATGCGGCGCACCTGCGTTAATATGACACCTGCATAACGCAGCAACGCAGCGATACGTTTGAATGCTACAAAGCGGGGGCACGCGCGCAATCATAACAACATCAATGTGTAACGATGCTTCAAGAAGTTCCACCATGAACCTGTCAAAACCATTAGTTTTCCAATGCGCACTCTGCCAGACATTTGCGTGCGCGCCTGTATTGAAATCGTGAGAAACTTGTTCTCCCCAGTTGTATTGTTCAGAGTCTAGCCGAAATATTAAGCATCACTCATGATCGCCTTGTTCTGCATTATCGTCCTCCTCATCATCGTCGTCATTCACTTCACCGTTACTTCAGTCATCGCCACTGCCCTGGCCATGAGAAACATGGACTTGCGTGACAATTCCACGCGCCAGTGCGCGTTCGGAGATGCGCTAACAAAGCTGTACAAGTTACTTCGATCATGGCCCATTTGATTTGGATAACAAGCTGCGGGCGGGTGGGCGGGATTGTTGCTAGGGTATGTGGGTTTGCTCAAACGTTGGTGTAGTCGCGATCCCACCCATAGGGCTCCCCGCACAGGGGCCCGCCCCCCATAGGGGTCCTTGTCCACGGTATACCAGTCATGGGGTCAACCCATGGGGTTTCGCCGAGGCACTGCGTTCCGTTGGGTGTACCCCAAAACATGCACCCCGCAGATTGTAATCCATGAGGCGCTGCAGTTTAAAAGTCGCACCCCGTACGATACACCCTAGAAGTTCACCCCTCTGGTGCGTGGCCGCTTCGAGTTTTGACGCCAGTTGTGTAAGCCTGTTGTCCGCCCCCATCTCCCGCTTCAAAAACACATGTCACCCCTTGAGATGTCCCCGTGGATTTTCCTTTCTATATATAAAAGCAACATAGGTTCTACCACCCTCCCCCCCCGGGGTTACAGACCCCCCCGTAACCGATGTAAAACACATATATGATTCTGACCCAATGCCCATGACCTGTGAGTTCATACTATCCCAGCCAAGCCGGTATCGGTTCTCCCCGCCATCCTTTGCAACAAATAGTACGCGCGCACACTCATTTATCACAAATCAGAAGTTTTCAAGAATCCCTTGCAAAAAAATATGACGAAGTGCGCACGCGCGCGTCGTCGCGCACGCATGCCGAAATCCTTCAAACGCCCTGGTTTCGGAAGGGTTTCAAAATCGAGTTTCCAAAACAAATACAAAAAAACAAGGTTTCGCAACACTGATGTTCAACAAAAGCTTACGCGTGCGCTCTTGCGAAATTTTAAGGAAACCTCAGGTTTTTCACGATTTTCCAAAACAAATACTACCAAACGGGCTTCGCGCGCGCATGCCGAAATCTTTCGAACGCCCTTGCGCGCGTGCCCTCGCGAGAATCCTTTGCAAAAACATGGGACGAAGTGCGCACGCGCGCGTCGTCGCGCGCGCATGCCGAAATCCTTCAAAAACCATAGGTTTCGGAAGGGTTTCAAAATCGAGTGTCCAAACAGCATACAAAACACATGGTTCCGCAACACGGGTTTTCAACAAAAGCGTGCGCGCGCGCCTTTGCGTCGTCGTCATCGTCGTCGCCGTCCTCCCTCCTCCCTCGTCGCCGTCGTCGTCGCCGTCGTCGCCCTCTGTCGTCCTCTGTCGTCGTCGTCTTGGCGTCGTCGTCGTTTCCGTCGTCGTTGTCGCTGTGGTCTTCCATCCTGCCTCGTCGTCTTCGTCGGCGTTTTGTCGTTGTCCCTCCTATTTCGTAGCCGTCGTCGTCGTCGTCGTCGTCGTCGTCGTCGTCGTCGTCGTCGCCTTCCCTCCTCCCTCGTCGTTGTCGTCCTCGGCGTCGCCGTCCTCCCTCCTTCGTCGTTCGCGTCGTCGCCGTCCTCCCTCCTCCCTTGTCGTTGTCGACGTTGTCGCCGTCGTCGTCCTCCCTCCTCCCTTGTCGTCCTCGTCGTCGTCGGTGGCGTCGTCGTCGTCGTCTTCGTCCTCGTCGTCTTCGTCGTCGTCGGTGGCGTCGTCGTCGTCGTCGGTGGCGTCGTCGTCGTCGGCGTCGTCGTCGGTGGCGTCGTCGTCGTCGTCTTCGTCCTCGTCGTCTTCGTCGTCGTCGGTGGCGTCGTCGTCGTCGTCGTCGGTGGCGTCGTCGTCGTCGGCGTCGTCGTCGTCGGCGGCATTGTCATCGTCGTCGTCGTCGGCGTCGGCGTCATCGTCGTCGGTGTCGTCATCGTCGTCGTCGTCGTTTTCGTCGTCGTCGAAGTCGTTGGAGACGTCGTCGGTGTCGTTGTAGTCGTTGTCGGCGGCGTCGTCGTCGTCGTCGTTGTCGGTGTCGTCGTCGGAGTCGGCGTCGCTGCCAAGTGCAATGTGGTACCCACCGTCACGGTCTTACGCGGTCTTGCGACCAAGTTGTGGGTGGGAGGGTGGGATGTTTGCACGAGCAGTGGAGAGGACAGCTTCAAGTTCATCAAGTGCTTGAGTGCACCCCATAAGTTGCACCTCGTATTTTGCACTCAATAAGCTGCGTGTGCTCCTTACGTTGCACGCCATTAGTTTCAATCCACACACTGGACACCATAAGTTGCACACTGTGCTTTGTTAAAGGTATGAACAAACCAGGGCCAACTCGTTCGTAATATAGCGTGTACCGTTGAGGTGACATAGAATCGTGTGCCGACTTTCTCCAGTACGGTTGCTTGATGGAGGTTCTTTTTTGTAAAAACATGGCAGGGAAGGAATGGTGTGCATGTCCCGCGGCTGTGGTTTCGTCTCTTGTTGTTCGCATGTGTTCCCGTGGAATCGTCATGGTTCTCGGGGTGTGATTGTTTCCTTGTGCTCGCTTTTTTTTACTCGCGGGTTTGCTTACCCGACGTTTTCCTATTATCTTGCCCAATCGGTGTGCGTACATGAGCCCTTGATGAGCATGAACTAAGCGCCCATTCCCGCGGCTTTCTGATTTGCACATGCTCCCAGGGTATCGGAAGTAAATGCTTTCCACGCCGTTGCTTTGCTTGTTTGCTCGCGCCCCCTTGTTTGGAGCGGGTGCCGACCCAAGCAATATGAGCGGGCCTCCGGGATTACGTTGAATACAGGATATACTAGTGTATATATATATATATATATCTATATATGGTACGAGCGATATATATATATATATATATATATGTATATATACTGTTCCTCCAATTTCAGGCCCTCCTCTTCTCTCTCCACCATCTTCCTTTCAAGGCCACGTGCGCACAAGGCAGTAATGCAAACCAGTCCTCCTCCTCCCTCCTTCTCACTCCCTTCTCATTCCTCCCTCCCTTCCTCCTTCCCTCCCGTCCGCCCTCCTCCCCAGACATCCTCGCAGCTTGGCTCCCCAGAGATCTGGACCTCTTCCCCTGAATCCGGTTTTCGTCCCAAGCTGCTTCTTGGCAGTCTCGTGGCCTGACAAGGGCCCACGAAGGTTGAAAATTGTCAAAAGCATTCCTCCGCGCTGTTTTCAGGACGCGAGGATATCAGGGTCCATCCTTCCTTCCCTCTCCAGGTGTCGCCCCACGCTGAGGATCTCGGCCAGGTCCTGCCGGAGAGAAGCTGCGGATCGAATGGTTTGAAAGAGCGCGTCGCGCGGATTCTCCTATTCATCGTCTTCGAACCGCGCCGATCGTTGTCCCCAGAAGCAGATTCTTCGCAGTGCGGCATGGAGCCGATTCGGCAAGGAATTCCATCCCAAGCGATCGGGGTTTACAGCCGATGTGGCGACGAGCTTTCCTGGGTAATGTTCCTGTCTCGTGGATTTCCCTGTGAAGCTTGACTCGTCTCTGCCCATGCCATTGCTGGAGTTTCTGCGTGAGGCTAGCCAGTGTGGCATTGGCCTTCTTTTTCTGTTTGAAGGCCTCGCCCACCTCGTGGTGTGTGTGTGTGTGTGCGGGTGGCTTCGGGCAGCGGAATATATATATATATATATATATATATATATACTGCCCTCTGGCCCGGCCCTTCCTGAGCCCAGGAGTTGTGTATATGCTCTCCTGGCCAAGCACGGAGGGCGTGGTGTGTACTCCGCTGCTTGGTTCAGCATGGGCTTGGCCAGGGAGTAATGGATATGTCTAGATGTCGTCGTAGCTTGTAACCGCTCAGACAACAAAAAACTCCCTCCCATCCCCTTCCTTCCTTCCTTCCGCTCGCCCTCCCCTCCCCTCCCTTCCCTCCTCCCCTCCCCTCTCCGCTTTGGGAACCTCCCTCCCCTCCCTCCCCTCCCCTTCCCCTCCCCTTCCCCTCCCCTTCCCCTTTCTCCCCTCCCTCCCCGCCCCTCCCCTCTTTGGAAACCTCCCTTCCCTCCCCTCCCTTCCCTCCCTTCCCCCCCTCCCCTCCCTCCCCTCTCCTCTTTGGAAGCCTCCTTCCTTTCCCCTCCCCTCCCCTTCTTCTTTCTCCCCTCGCCCTCCTCCGCCCCCGAAGGCGCGCCTCCTCGCGCTCCTGCTGCTGCAGGTCCTCCTCGTCCTCCTTCCTCCTCGTGCTTCTCCTCTTCTCGGCCACGCGCAGAGGGGTGTAGGTCGGAGGAGGAATACGTACCCGTACCACTACCCTTCCCTCGTTTTCGCCTCTTTGGGCCTCCCGGAAGGCCCTCGTCGCCACCGCTGGACTCGCCTTACAATCCTGGTGAGAACGCACCCCGGGAGGTGTCCGGGGAGTAGCGATATTAATACATCTTGGTTTCCCCAGCACGGGGAGGGGGGAAGGCTTCGCAGAAGCAGGCTGCTCTTTGAAGGCTGGCGCGCCATTTAAGAAGCAGCCTCCTTCTATGAGGCCTTCCCCGCTCCCCCTGCCCCGATGTGCGCGCCGCCAACATTCCACCTGCTCATCCTCGTGCTCACCTCTTGCTCCGCCTCCGGTGTGCACGCAGCTCCGCTTTTGAGACTGCGCGCAGCACGCATGGGGCGTCTCTTTTAGGGGCGTGCGCACCTCCCCCTCGTCCGATTGCGCATCACGCGACGTTTCGCTTGCTTGAGCTCCAGGTTCTATCAACGCACGCGTCCACGGATGGAGAACACATCGGCGCGATGGGAAGGGATGGGAGGGCGAGGTCGGACTTCAGCAGTGGCGCGAGCGCACCTGCAGTCGAAGACCGATGGTAAGAATGGGTGACCTTCCCGAGGGTACCCCTTGCGTCCATGCGTCGTGTGCCCATCCTTGGCTGCTTCGGACGGCCCGCCCGGCTCGAAAAAGCTCCGGCGTGGGCGCCCAAGGCCCTTGCATCTTCACCGCGCATCCTTACCATCAGTTTGAATTGCAGCTTCACCTAGTTGTCGAAATGAGTCGCGTTTTCGACGCGATGCCATGCTATGCCGTGCTGTACCATGCTTCGCGCACTCTCTCGGGATCATTACCCTGTTCGACATCCGACTGTGCGAATGGAGAGGAGATCTACACAGCTGAATGGATGGGAGGGAGGGGGAGGACGTCAGATATGACGCTTGCGCACCTATCCTGAGCGTCCCCTCCTTCCCCTCGCCCCCCTCCACCCCTCGCAAGGCGTGGCATGTCCTGTTCCGGCCTGGGGGCGAGGAGGTCGCCCGACGCCTGGCCGCGGGGCCAGAGGAGGAGGAGGAGGAGGAGGAGGAGGAGGAGGAGGACGAGGAGCGCCCGCCACCCTCTATCCGCTCGGGCCCTCGGCAGCGGTCGTCAAGGGCAACCTCAGGGTGAGGGGGGAGGCACTGACTTTTCGAGGTCCGAGGTCTTCTAACTTTTTCGTTGTCGGCGCTTTTCCAGCCTCGGGGTACCTTCCAGCGGCTGCGCCTAGCGAAGGGTGTTCCAGGGTTGCCTGGATCGTCCCGAACGGCCGCAGGGGAGTTGAGCCATGACCCAGACACAAACGTCGGGGGGAGATAGGCTCAGGTGGGGACACCTCGACCCCCAATCGCCCATTCATCACCAAGAGGGGCCCGATATCCTACTCCGCCCAGGAACGAGCGGATTCGCTCTCGGGGGTTGGTCGCAGATCTAACGGCGATAATTCGCCGATTTGAGATCGATGTTTCCCTCCCTGTGCCAGTCCCCCCCTCACGTTCCCTAGCCCACTCGCGTCGCGCAAAAATCGTGACGGACTGTGCTGGTGACGTTTTCGGCCTCTCGGGGCCCTCGCCAGACATCGGGACCGTCAAACATCGATTCGGGATGAAAGAACGACTCCGGGGAAAAGAGCGGGGAGGAATCAGACTCATCTGGCGATGTAGTCGTTTCGTCTTGGCGTTCTCCCTTCATCTGAAGATGGTCCGGGCGCTAAGCTACTTACGGGGAAGGGGTCGGGAGTCCTGGGGCCACGGATTGAAACTCAGATCGGCAATCAACAGGACGAAGCCAGGATCGGGACAATCTCTGATTAGGGCAACGTCGATGATCTCTGAGTTACACTAGATCCAGAGGACGTGCCTCTTAGGCTTGCCTGCACGGCCCGCTTCTAAACTGCTCCCCCTTGTTTGGTGCCCCCCCGTCGACTGGCGCCCGATGTCCTCGCGCGACCGCCGCTCCCTCCAGGGAGACTCTTCGCGCTTCGCTGGGCGCGACAGACGGTTGGCGAAGGTTTTGTGCAGCTCTTGGCAGTTTTGAGAGCCCAGGGGGTGGTCTCCATGAACCGCTTCCTGCCGAGAGGGCCCCGGGGATGCCGGACACCCGAGCTGTGGCTGGAAGGCCAGACAGTACTGGCTCACAGGCCTGCGCTTCTCGCTGCCCGTCGTCGCCGTGAAGAAGCCAGGGTTCATTTCGATCCAACCGAGCCGATTCGGTATCGATCTCTGTCGGCCAGATCTTGTTCGACTCCGACGTCCCGACGATCCTTGGACGGGGCCAGGGTAGGATAAATCCGTTCCAGAGCGTTCCGGCACTTTCTGGGAGGGCCGCGGCGCCAAATACATCTTCCAGAGCCGCCGGATCTCAGAGCTTCTCGATTTGTCCTCACCCGATGTTATCCTCGTCCTGGCTTCGTCTTGGATCCAGCGCGGCATGGTGTCACATGGTGCTGCTGTGCATCCTGGCGCAGTCGATGCGATTCGATTCCGACTCCGTGCCGATGCGGATCGATCTTACATTCCGATCTGATTCGATTCCGACTCCGTGCGATGCTGGTTGAGCGGCAGGAGGAGCAGGAGAAGGAGGAGATGAGGTGAGGACAAGCTAGCTGCGCTCGCGACATATCTGACATCTTACCCTCCCCACTCATCCGTTCCCACTGCCATGTATTTCTATAGCAGCCGACGGGTGCCATAGCGGACTTGGAACTGCCAGAAGGACGCAATTGCGACATCTTCAATCGCACATTGTGGCTGCGTGCATTGGACGAGGAGGAGGTGGCGGATGAGCGGCAGGATGAGCAGGAGGCAGGGCGTGAGAAGAGGAGAAGGAGGAGGATGAAGGAAGAAGGAGGACAAGGAGGAACAGCAGCAGTGGGAGAAGCGGGGGGAGCAGGATGGCCAGGGGGAGGTCGAGGAGGGGAAAGGAGCGGAGCGACAACAAGGAGGAAGCACTCGGACCCAAAAGGGTGGCCCGTGCTGGGGCGAGAGCGCCATTCGGAACGATGGGGGCACAGTGCCGATTCTAAGATGAGGCCAGCGCTGCAGCGGGGGCACCATTCTGAGACGCCGGAAACGTTTCGATTGAACGAACTCGGGCATCTTCTGACCTGGGTCAATCCAGACCCGGGTCAGTCGGGCCTTGCAGGATCTTGCACCCAAGCCCAGGTCAGCGCAGCCTCGGCCCTGCAGGATCCTGCAAGGTCCGGCGCTCTGGCTGACCCCTGTTTGCAGGGACCCCCGTCTCTCGAGCCCCGAACGACCTCCTCCTCCTCCTCCTCCTTCGCCTCCTCCTCCCCCTCCTCCCCGACGATCCTCACGAGTGGCACACTGCTGAAGCTCCCCGTGAGAAAAAGCAGTGCGCGGAAGGGGCCAGCCGGCTCCCCGGCCATCCTCGGGGTCCTCCGGAGCAACGGTCGAGGAGGCGGAGGAGGGGGGTGAGGGGGGGGGATCGAGGAGGAGAAAACTGCGCAACACACAGCTTTTCAGAGGTCCGGGGGCGCCTGGAAGTGGCTTCAGACGCCTGGAGGCGCCTGGAGACGCCTGGAGACGGCTGGAGACGCCCGCAGACGCCTTCACACGTCTGGAGACGCACGGAAACGGCTGGAGATGGCTGGGGACCGCTGGAGACTCCCTGAATGGCTTGCAGACAGCAGAAACCTGGATGGAGGAGGAGAGCGAGGACGAGAAGAGAGCGAGGAGGAGGAGGAGGAGGAGGAGGAGGAGGAGGAGGAGGAGCTGGAGACGCCTGGAGACGCCTGGATAGTTCCCGAGTCTGCTTACAGGGCCATCTACACTTTAAGCAGACCTGTTAATTCTCAATGAGACGTGACGGACTGGGAGACACGAGTTTTGGACCAGTGGCGACGGCCATGCATGTATGGGATGTGAGTCCATCGACGACCACAAGGGCGTTGGTATTGCAGTGCACGGTGCAGCTTTTACTGGCTTTGCACCCTGTCAATGAAGGTTTGCTTAGATTGATGTTTGGAACGCACGGCGTCGCTTTCAAAACGTGGCTGGGCTGCATATTTTCCCATCTGGAGGTTATGCTGATAAACGTGTGCAGCAGGTTCATGATGCTCTGACGTGATTCGCCCGTGAACCTATGCCAATGCTGTGTTTCCTTACGTTTAAGTCGTCGGGCCTGTCCCTCTACAGGCGGAATATTAAAAAATAGAGAAAACATAGTCTGGGGATTTTTTTACCGTTTTTGAATATCTTTGAATTTTATTTCCAATTTTTCTTGCTCGTCCACAATCCGACTGTAGGGGGACATGCCCGACCTAACCTTACGTCTCTTGAGCCGCTCGGGGCGAAGCGTTCTTATGCCCCAGCGCCTCACTGTGCCAGGGCTCGTTCCGATTCCTCCGGTTCGATCCGATTCGGCGTTGACGGTTTCCGGTTCCGATTCGATTCGACTTCGGATTCCGATTTGGGATCCGATTTCTCAATGGAGGCCTGCTAGCCTGCCGATGTCCGCCGATTCGACGTTTCCCGACTCGGCTGCCGATGCCCCGATACGCCCGTTCCGAAACGCAACACCTACCGTGCTCAAAACGTCCGAGTCAATACGTTGCCATTGGCTCAACGTATTGGCCCACGTTTTGGCGGACGTATCGCGTCAGGCATACGTTTTTAATCTACGTGGTGAGTCATGTATCGATGCGCTAGGTGTTGCGTGTTGCGGATCGGGGCAGCTAAGATAATAATTGATACGGCTGCTGATGTTCATGCTCCCCATCACCTCCATTTTCGCCGCAGCCAGACTTGACGCAGCAGCTTTTTCGGTCCCGGCCCCGGCTACGACAACGAGGATCCGAAAGAGCTATATGAGACCTCAAGATGGCTCCTTGAACATGCCCCCCCACACTACCATACCAGAGGCTCCTGGTTTGATTTTGTTGAGGGCCTCCTTGGCCCTCTTTGAGCGCTCTCGGGGCCCTCTTGGGGGCCTCTGGGAAACCTCTTGGAGCCCTCTGCAGTCTCGGTCCCAGGAGGTCCCAAGGGAAGCCCAAGGCGCACCAAGAAGGTCCGAAAGAGCCCCGCCCCGAGAGGGCCCTGCGAACAGACCCCAACACCATCATACTGGGGGTCATTTCAGGCCCTTTTTGTGGGTTTCTGTACTTTCTGCGACTCCTTCGACGGCGCTTCTTACCGGCTCGTGGGATGTGTCCGCGAGCTCGGGGCATTATGCAGCGGACCGGGCAGACAATCCCATACCAGATTACACAGCCAGGAACATTTTATATCAAAATCAACAAGACGATCGTCTTGAATGATCTGCAGACGGCAGCGCCCAAAGAGGATCATTCAGTGACATTCGCTTTTCAATGTTGGCAGCGTGCACAGGCGTGCACCATGGGCCAGGTTATAGATATGCCATGCTTTGGCTTGCGCGCCCGGTGGCGACATTGGAAGGCGGACGCCATTTGTTGCCCAGGTGCTCTTCCAAGTTGATCGTTCACAGTGCCGCTGGCGTGGGCGGTTCCACGTTCTGTCGTGCGACTTCGTTCCTTTGGTGGGATGGCTGACGTGCACCGTGCAATGCAGACGAGACGTTCTTCCGCAACATTGACAGGCGGATGTCGCTTCATGCGACGGGCCCCGCCTGGTCTGATTCAAAGCAAATGTCACTTCATGCGACCGGCCCCGCCTGGTCTGATTCAACTTCGTTTCGACTTCCATCCTGGTGCCGCTTTTGTTATAAACTTTTTCACGGGGATGTGGGCAGACCAACCTGATCACCAAAGTTGCAATGCAACGCAGCAAGTATTGTTGTGCGTGGATGGGCCGCGGGTAAGCAGATTAGACAGACCAGACCTGGCACCCAGACCACCCAAACCAAGCTGACTAGCCAGACCAGCCGGTCAGACCAGCCACGTAGACCAACCTGGCCAGTCAGGCAGACCAGCCAGACCAACCAGACCAGCTAGCCGTTCAGACCAGCGAAGGTCAGACCAGATTAAGCAGGTCAGCCTGCCCAGACCAAGCAGACAAGCC